ACTCACCAATATGCGATACTAGCACCTATAAGCTCTATTCTGGCAATTTTTTTCGATAGCCCATTCATGGAAATCGGAAAATTGTTGCATAAGATCTTTTTCTTTCGATATTTGGAGCATCGCGAAATTCTTGTTCTTCAATTTCTCTGAAACAAAGAAGGACATGATTTTCTTTAATAGATATGACCTATCCGCATTAATTTTGTCGTAAGCAGTAGAGACCTAATTATGTTCTTGGTTCTGCACTTCAGATCAAGATTCATTAAATAGTTTATATAAAAACAAAACTTATTTTATAAACCTGCTGAGTTTTTTCTGAACAAGATAAGAATGTTGTTCCATTTTAATAAAGAAATGTTGCTCTAAGTCTCATCATAGGTATCTGATCGATAATATTCTTTTTTGCTGCACATAGTAACTCCCATTTNACATATCCAAGATTTTGGAGATGCCACCACATCTCCTGCGGGAGATGCCGCATCTCGCGCGAGAGATGCGAGTGTGGGTGTGGGGGATGCGTCTCTCTAAAGGAGATCTTACATCTCCAGTGGTGAATGACCTCATCTCCCGAGTGTGGGTGCCGCGTCTCCCGCTGGAGATGCGGTGGCATCTCCAAAATCTTGGATAGGTGACACTACTCCAATTTTCGAACTCAAGAGCGAGACATAGCTCCAAATAGTTTTAACGGTTGCTTTTTATATTCTTGTCAAGTAGACTTAGGAGATCATTAAAAATACGCAATGTTTGGTTCTGTCCTGAAATGAATGTATGAAATCCTAATAAAATAATAGTAAAATAAGAAAGTATGGACAAGGAAAGGTATAGCTTATGAAAAAAGCTACTTTCTGTAGTGATGAATTTAAAGTTTCAATTTTGTCCGTTTGATTCTGTTATAAAAGTCCTACTGATTATTACTGAATAACAGATAAAAAATTCAGGACTCGTCGTATATTACGTTATTATAAAAAGAGAATGATCGCATTCAAATGATAGCAATCATCACGCCAATGGGAAGATTACACAACATTTACGCGCATGACATTTGCGCGCAAGACTCTAACGCGCAAAATTACTTTCTTGTGCTGCTTGTATATGACAAATGAAAATTAGAACACAGATAAATAACACTTTATTTACAGAAAAAAGAGCACACGTAAATGACATTTAATGAGTGATAAGTACCTCAGCGAATATTCAAAAATTATACACAGATCTAGCCATTTTGAAATAGTCGTCACGTCAAACATTGTAAAAAATTTTTATCATTTTTTTTCACTCATCTGTTTTTCGGGTGTGAGGGTGTAAGAAAAGGACACTGACACATCCACACACCGATAATACAAAAACAGCACAAAAAATCGTTTTGCGCGTTAGAGTCGTGTGCGCAAGTGTCGTGTCACGACTCGGTTGGCATGCATCTTTCATATTGCATTATGGATTTTCTAAGTTTTATGAGAGATATTCACCTGACATTTTGTAACACTTTTAAATCATCTTGCAAGAAATTTTTTGTTTCGAATTCAGCAAATATTTGTACATATTTGACCTACTGTCGTTCTTGTTCATTAGGATCAATCATGAAATTCATATGTGTTTCGTCAGTGATTGCAACTGAACTGATAAACAACTTTGAGCTTATATCTCATGCTATTAATGTTTTCAAAAATCCATCTTTTCATCCAAAAATTGCTCTACTTATCAGTCAAATAATTTCTTCCAGGAGACGTACTTTACCAACATTTATTTAAAAGGATGTTGATATTCATCTGTCTCGTACAACACCTGTTAATATTTTACATTTAGCTACATATCTCGAAAACACTTACGGCAAGGGGCAACACACTTATCATACCTTATGCTTTTATGGAGACGTGCCTTTCGAGGTTCATAGTTCGACCAGTAACTAGGTGAATGACTCAGCTTTGATTTACTCGGATGATTTAAACAATCTTCGTCTTGGAACAATAGCCGAAATTATACTCTTAAAAGCTACTGGTGAAATTTTATTTATTGTCGATGAAGCCAAGATAATTGGTTATGATTTTTTTTATTCCATGAGGCAGAATATATAAATGACTTCTATATTTATGCAAAGCTTCTGGTGCCAGCAAAGACTATTTCCATCCATTATAATTCAATTAGGGAGAAGGTTGCTTATCGATTGGAGGAACATATGAAATCATGTTGTGAATTTCTTGTATTTCCAAATCTTCTAGAATCTACATAGATAGTCTTAAAACACTACTATTAGTACTACTATCAATAACTCATTATTTTTTTTCTTCTGTCTTTTTGTTATTATTATATGTTTTCAGCAGTTAGGATTTAGGTCATCAGAATTCTTGATCATCTATCATAGTAAGTATTAGATATACACAAGGCATAATAATATGAACCAGAATAGTACATTGCGAATGCATCAGAATCAAACTTCAATGAATCTAACTCACGAATACGTTAATCGGTAACTGATGCGAATTAGCATACTCGTATGTGTATAAAACAGCAAAATAAGTCTAATGTATTGAAAAAATATCCCACGTTGTTAGCATTGACAGAAAAAGATATTTGATTCCCATAAAAAAATTGTAAAGGAGAATATGTGTGTTTATTAATGAAGGATTTACTGAACAAAAGATTTTGCGCTTAACCTAGTCTAGAAATTATGGATAAATCCAAATGTGTTTAATTTCTTTTGAAAACCGTGAAATAACTGGTCAATGCCACACATAATAAACCGGATAACACGCGTTAATGTGCAAAACTTTAACAAGTTTTAGCGCGTGATTTTTACACTTCTGGCTGACTGGGCTCTGTTCTGATAGTGACAAATTTCATTGTCTTGATTGTTCTAACGAGAAACATCACGCTATGCAATGAATAATTCAAAAATTAGCGAGCCAGAGTAAATGATACATTACGTGTAACCTCATACTCGAGACAAAGGGAAACGGAAGTGTTTTTCTATTTAGCTTCTTGTTAAAATATGGTGGGACCCATGGCCGCGAAAGAGTTTATAGAGACGATGCTCGTTTCATGTTCATCCTATTTTCTACATAGAGAAATTCAAACAACACAATGAGAATTATCAATTTAATACCTGATAGTCAAAACGCAGGTTCTCAACGTCTGTTTTTGAAATCAAAATTCTCTATTGATATACTAATGAAGCGAAAACTATCACTCATCTTGCAGCTTCTCAGTTTTGTTTCGATAGCTTGCTTCTTTCTGAATCTTTATGAAAAAACTGCATTTTTAATTTGATAAAATATTCAAAGCTGAGTCTTTCTTTTTAAAAAGTAGGACAGAGGACAGATTTTGACCGAGATATTGAGAAAAACGAAAGAGCCTTTATTCTTTAACATCTGTTAGATATGAAAAAATCTTAGACGATGTCATACAGTATTGCGATATCACACTGACGTGCAATATTAATTATATAAAGATAAAGCACAGCAACATCTTTGCCATTGAAGATAGCAGGACTTTTCTTTTGTTCCTACTTATAAGAATGATAGGCAAACATAGAAATGCTTTGCAAAATATTTCGGTCATTTTTTAGAACAAGCTATTCTGGAACATCTTATGGATACCAACCGGCCATACTTTCGATTTGACCTTGTAAATAACCGATCACAAAAATGGTGGCATCGCCGGTGGACTGAGATCCTCTTCATTACTCTTATAGTTCTAACAGTTTTAGTGATTACTCTCTCTCTTTTGTTACAATTTGTCATTCTTACTTCGACAAAACCAGACAGCATCACTACCATCACTGCAGCACTCTTTACAGTAAGAACAGATGCAACAGTAGTATCATTAACAATCACCACTACAACAATAACGACCACTCCGTCTCAGGAGCCAAGTGAGTTTTAGAGGCGTACTTCATCTTACTAAATGCTAATTTGGAAGTACTTAAAAGTGCTCCTTTTGCACCCGAGTTTATTTTGTATTTAGCTGAAGAGCACCTAAAAGGATGAATGACTTGCCAATGAGTGACTTAATCTGCACCATAAGTAAATAAATTTCGAAAATATTCATTTTTACTTTGTTTATTAGAGAAGACAGAATAACTGGAAGGAATGAGAATGTCAATGGCAGTCTGAGAAGTTCGCTTTTTTGAAGTTACCATTTGTAGGAGTTACGTAATAAACTTTGCTAGATCAGTGTTGTCAATATAGAAACAAGTACTCGCATTGTCGGTTTGTTCCTTCATCTCCAGACTCTGCTGCACCGTCTTTGTTTATCTATGCACGTTGAGTTCGAGAAATCGTGACTGAAATGTAACTTTAATGATGAGCGTTCGAGAACTGAAGGAATAAAGTAGAAAAAGGCGCAGCTCAGTACGAGTAGAGATGTTCTCATCGCTGGGAATACGAAGTCATAGTCGAACTCGAAGGAACTGGTTCAAATTTTAGTGATGATATCATGTGATCAGTATGTTTCAATTACAATAAGTGCATCATGCTCTTAATCTAAAACCATAGCTGAACATTGTGTCTTGCTGCAGATAGAGACTAAAAACCAAGACAGAAACTAGTATCGACTCTTGCAGAGAGAAATTATCGGAAACTGAAAAAGCCTAACTACTGCTCGCTGTATCTTTGCCGAATGCGGCTATATTAGTGTGATCATAGTCAGTAGAATCTATAGAAAAAATGAAAGCCCACTCGTTCAGGTAAATAATATAACAATAACTAGAAAATGGAATCATAATCTATCGCGGACTCATTCATACTATTCTTGATGAATATTCGAAGCTCACTATTTGGCCGTATTATGAACGATTTCTGAGCCCTTAGAAGAAATCTAACACGTTTTGAGATTCCATGAAAATTTAAAACTTTGTATGAAAAATAAAAACCGAGTTTTTTTGCACAAAATCTTGAGCTCTCTAAATAGAATCACATTATCTTGTGTGTACCTGAATACACATTCTCTCCAGCAAGAATACGGATGAATGATTGTAACTAATAGAATGGTCTAACGCTGGCAGTATGAATAATGCACGAATTGATCATACGGCATCCGTGTTAAACAATGGAAAAGTGTTAGTTACTGGTGGTTGTAACGGTTCTCTTCTAAATAGTGCTGAGTTGTATGATCCAGCAACACGAACTTGGACAGTTACTGGCAGCATGAATAATGCACGAAGTTTACATACAGCATCCCTATTGCCGAATGGAAAAGTTTTGGTTACTGGGGGACTCAATGTCAGTACTATCACGAATGGTGCTGAATCGTGTGATTTATCAACAAAAACATTTGCGATATTCGATAAAATGAGCAATGGACAAAACAATTGGAAAGCCTCGGTATTAACTAATCGAAAAATATTAGTTGATGGCAGAGAGAATTATCTGACTGCTATCAATAGTACTGAACTATATGACCCATTAACAGGAATCTGGACAACTACTGGTAGTATGAATTATGCACGAGGAGGACATACAGCATCCGTATTACCAAATGGAAAAGTGTTAGTTGTTGGTGGACTTTTTGTGGAGAGTCTAGAAACTGCCGAGCTATATGATCCATCAACGGGAATATGGACTAATACTAGTATTTTGAATTATCCACGATTTGATCACAAAACCATTCTATTAACAAATGGAAAAGTTTTAGTTACTGGAGGACTTTTTGATATAACTAAAGATAAGTGTGAGTTGTATGATCCATCAACAGACATATGGAATACTACTGGTATGTTGAATTATGCACGAATTAATCACGCACTCGTCGGATTACCAAATGGAAAAGCATTGGTTACTGGAGGACGTTTACTGGATTTTCTAACTAGTTCTGAGTTATATGATCCAACAACTGAAATGTGGACATACACAAGTCAGATGAATAATGCACGAGCATGGCATACAGCATCAGTATTAACAGATGGAAATGTGTTAGTTACTGGTGGATTTCGTGATATTTTTGGTATTAAGTTGAATAGTTCTGAATTGTATGATCCTTTAGCAGAAATGTGGACTACTACTAATAGTATGAATAATGCACGAGCAGGGCATACAGCATCCGTGTTAACAAATGGTAACGTATTAGTTACCGGTGGATATGGTGAGAATCAGAGTTATTTAGATAGCGCCGAATTGTATGCCCTATCAATAGAAACATTGACAACGATCGATCAAATGGAGAATGTCGGAAATGATCGCAAAGGATCGGTATTAACAAGTGGAAATGTGTCAGTTAACCGTGGACATAACAATGTGATTTCGAACAGAACACAGTTACAGAACACTTTCAACGAATCAAGAGTATGAGCAGCTTTACTCTTTTGACATGATTCGTCTTTTTTCAGTTTCATTTCTTTGATACTAACTTTTTTGCGGTGTGGGTGTGTTGAAGTTACCACGATACTATAATAGTATTTCAATTTTACCTAAATCTTATCAAGTGGCTAGTATTTGTATGATTGATTCAGACTTTAGAAGTCAAGTCAAAAACAAGACACTGACTAATTGCGCTCGAAAATGGTGTGGGTTCAATGAATGGTCATCCACACCCACACCCACACCCAAGACATCAATTGCTTCGAGTACAATTGATTTTCATTGAGCAAGATTGTTTTTTCTTCATTTTCAAGAAAATATTACCTGAAATATTAATCATGATTCTCTGAAGTTTGTACTTCTCATTTTTTTTCTTCAGAAGAAACATATTTCTTTCTTTCATTCAAAACCAACTGGGAGCATATTCCTTTTGAATAAATGGAAAAAAAGAGACACCTAAAAAAAGCGTGGAGTCTGGGTCGTAGTTGTGGATGAAGAGAAGACGCACCCACACCTACACTCACATCCGAACGAAAACTTCATCTCAACTCATATCCTTCATACGTCAACATCAAAATGGGATGTCATTTCGATTGAAATAAAAGATTTTATTGAAAAAAGCATCCTCTCTTTGAAAGTCCAACTGGTACAGCTTATTTTCTTCGATTTCCAACTCTTGAACATTGTTCTTCACACATTAAAAGAGATTTTATATGTAACTCGACTTTTCACTTTTATATGTGAAGGTTTGAAATAAATCAATGTCAGCAGAGAAGAGAAAATACAAAGTGTCCCAAAAGTTCCTTCCAGATAAATTTTTCGTATATCTGTATTATTTAATTTGACTTTATCAAAACCAGTTCTTTTCAAATAATAGGAAAATACACCGAGTTTTTATTTGTACGAGCAAACTTCAAAAGTACTGTTTAAAGTTATGACCTTTAACGGAAACACAAAAAATTAACCTCTTTTCTATAGCCCGAAAAACTCATAGATGATGTCTTTTTTAATTATTTGAATTTTGACTTGTTACCATTCAATTTATTTTTTTGAAGACATTTGAAAACTAAATTCTATGAAAAAAATGCTCAGGAAGGGAGAATTTAAAGTTCCGAATTACTCAATAACTCGCAGTAATTTTTAAAAAAATAACTAAAAGTATATTGCTCTGAGTCTTTCAAAATTCGCATTTTTAATTTTTATATAATAATTGGTTTTGATCTATTAAAATCAATAGTATTTAATTTACTGTTATTATTTGGTTAACTTTTTCTTCCACAATGACATAAAATAACTAAGTAATGATGAAAAATGAATTTTTTTCAAATAGTTTCTAATTGATTACCAAAAATCAATAAGAATATATTACTGACGATGATAATATATTTTATCTGTATTTTTTTGAAAATAAAATCACTCGGCTTTGGCTTTCATTAACTATTCTGCTCAAAACATATTGAATCATTCGTCCTTGGAGTTTTTGCTCTATTATTTTTTTCACATGGGATATCACTGCAGTTCTTATAATCGCATCAAAAATCAAATGAATTACATTAAATTATGAGTAGCATGACCTGATTTTAGACGATACTTAGCTAAATGCTCTAATTGATTGACAAAAGTTTGTTAGCGCAGTTCCTTTTGGGTTCAACTTTGGAACTCATATGTTCCATATAAACTAGCATATAATTGAGTATATCGTTTTCATGTAATAAAATATGCTTCTACAGTTTCGAACAAACGAAGAGAAATAATCAAAGACTCATATACTGAAAGATTCATTCGCTAATTAATAATGATCAACGTTACTGGCAAAATATCAAAATGTTTTTTTTAAAATTATTTGCGATATGATTAAATTCTTTGGGGTTCTTTAATGTATAAAACTAAATAGAACGTTGATTAGTTTATACTAATAGAATTCATTTGGAAGTAATAATACTCTGAAGTACTAATCACGATAAGGGAAAATATTCCCACATTGTTACTAGTACACATATTTGTGCCTTAATTTTAATGTTTGTCCGACTAACTATAAGTGCCAATCGTATTAAAATAATTGATTTATACTTGCAATTGCTATGAGGAACATATCCAATAAATTGTAACCGCGGTTGATAAGATCTGTGACGGGAAGGCAAGAAGGGAGCAGCAAATCTTTGACTTAACAATTACATTCACAATTATCTTTGAAAATATATGCGTGTTTCACGAAATCCAATCGATTCTCGTGGATTATAATCATTATGGCTTGATTTTACACGATTTCTATCGTATTGATTATAATCGATTCTGTTGGATCATAATCAGTATCATTTGATTTTTATCGAGAAAAAAATCATCGACTACTGATGAAAATTGATTACTCCTAAAAATCGATTCGAATTGATTAATAAAAAATCGTAAATCACCGATTATACTCGCTATTAATCGATTTTATTTGATTTGAATGAAAGAATTCATGATAATCGATGAAAAATCATTGATTCCTATTGAATTGTACGGGAAAAATCGATTGTAATCTACAATTTAATCTAAAAAAACCACAGTTGTTGGATTTTCATCAATTATTTATGCTTGAAATCAATGATAATCATGTATGTGTTGATTTTTTGCTTAAATTTTTTTACATGGATCTTTATCATGAGTTGATATGTTAATACAATTACAGAACAAAGCAAATTACTCGCCTTTATACTCGATATTTTCAGTAATGTTTTCCAACAAAAAACTACTGCTTATGTCATATCAGTTTACGAGCGACAAAAACAGAAACGAGAGTACATAGACAATCATTGCTGCAGAAAAATGTTCAGTCATAAGTAAAAAAATAAATTCTACATTGACACTGATGTTAAATATTCTGTGTTTTTTTATAAACGTTCTTTCTAATGAAGTAACTTTTGTTAGTAAAGAGTAATAGTGACACGTGTAAGTTGATTGATTAGTTTCATTTAAAGAATTACAAGCTGATTGGAACTGTTCAATTTAATTTAAATGTACCATCCCAAGTATAGAAAAAAAAACCGAAATTTTGTTTTCGCCGGTTGAAATTGTCATGTAATTCTGTTCATGGGTACGGATAGTCTACGTTCAAATAATTGATGTACAATAATTCTTTATCTTGTTCCTTTAATTCTATGCTAATTATAAATTGGCAATATTTAACAAGATAATTATATCTATTTGCGTTCTTATATGCAAGTCGTGACTTAAGCGTAACTGCATAATAACTAAAGGCGTATTTGTCTTTCTTTCTCTCTTCGTATAAGTAATATCGTTTGTAATCAAAATATCATGCACAATATACGTTGTTTTGCCCGTATTAAACCTGTATAAGACACGTCTATTGCTTTTTTAAACTCATCTTCGTAGGTGAAATAAGCGTGTATAAAAAGGAAGAAAAATCCACAAAAAGATAAATATAACAAGTAGATAACGATTTGATGGTTATATTCATCTCGACTATGATCAAGTGGAAATTCATAAAAACATTCGTGCATTCCGCTGTTCTGTTCATTCAATTTTTATTCGTTCTTTTCGCTCATCTAGTTTTTTTGTCCTAATTCGACCAGATTATTTTTTTTTTGAAACAATTTTATTTCAGATCCTAACTCCAATATTCGGTATGGTTCTATATTTCATCGTATTGCTTCTCATTTCATTAGGTATCAATCAGATCGATTCGTCTTCTAGCGAAGAATTACAGCAGATCTGTGGTAACTGTGTTCGTTATGTTCGAGGCTTCGATATCACCGGAGTGACAAATGATGTTCAGTACACATTCAAAGCAAATAATATTAAGAATGCATGTGACTGTTACAAGAAGTGTCGTCAAAACTACCAAACATGCGCCAATTGGGTGTGGAAGTTCACGGATAACTCAACTTGTCGTACCTGTACATTATACTCGAATTTCAATCTACCTCCGGGTGTGACAATGGGCTTCGATTTGGCCACATCAGTCAATCTTGGGGTAATTAGTGGTGGCTCACCACAAGCAGGCGGTTTTGTTCCTCAGTGTCAGTTCTTTGACAGATATGGTAAAGCTTATGGTTTTGACAAAAACTGCATTTCTGGACCACTCTGGGCTCTTGGCAACAACAAATTTCTGTGCTAAATATTGACTGCAACTTGTAGCCACAAATGAACTTGACTAATTATTGCTTACAATTCAATTTCGTTCAATATCTTTCTATTTCTTTTCATGACAGTATATTTTCTATTCACATATTGACTAATTTTCATTTCTGAACACAAATAATATTCTTCGATTAATCTCGCATTTGATAAATAATAAATAATTAAAATCAAAATACTCACTATATTAAAGGAAATTGAAGAGACAATCCATCACTAACTTTGTAAACTGAGGCATTTATTAAAGTTTACTCAAGATTTTTTTTTGTGATTTGCACATCTAAATCAGTGATGTCGATCAGTTTTTCTAGATGAAATTGATGAATTGTATATATGGGAGTGGCTAACTGGTCTGATATCCGAATGCGTTGTTTTTTTCTGTGTAGTTCTAGTCACGATGCAGAAACATGTGATATTTTTGCCAGTTATAGTATACGTATAATGCTAATGATTTGTTATTATTTAAGCTCTGTGTCTTCATAGAAAGAAAACGTGTCACATGTTTCTTTAAAATAATTCGTTAAAGGTATTTCACATAAAAAAATGGTCATATAATCCAATTCTAACTTGCAAATTTTAAACAACATCACGTATCAGCAATAGAATATTATGAGAAAATAACTAATTAGGAAGTAAAGCTAGTGTATGATGTTGTATCAAGGGGGAAAAAGCAAATTTCAAGATTTCAAGATTCCCAAAGATTTCTAAAGATTTCAAAAGATTCCAATTAAAGAAAATCTGCGTGCTCTAATAGATATCTGCTTGAGAACTTGTTCAGTCTCATTTTGTACGTGTTCCTATATGACTTAATCCTTCCACTCCAGAGATAGTCTTATAAGATAGAATGAATT